TATAACCAAACCCAAAGCACAAGGCAGAATGCAGCAGCTGTCACATGTGCCACCTCCACCATCCAGATGGTGCCAGCGAGGTTCCCGTGTCCGGTGGCTCCTGCTCACTTGGCCACCCGGGCCCGTGCGGTCTCTGCACGGCGGCTGCGGGCAGGCAGTTCCCTGTGCATCCCAGCTTTCGGCAGCCAGGAGCTGGGACCCAGAGCCCTGCCAAGGGTCAGGCAGGAAAACAAGCTGCAGGCAGGGCTGAGCCCGAGGCAGCCGCCTGTCGCCAAGAACAGACACGCTGCTGCCAGCACGGCTTCAGCCTCATGGTGGGCAGCCAAGGAGCAGAACCGAGATAACGGCACGGGGCGAGACAGGAATGCGCTGCATTTTTCCTCAGCTGCCATGGGAATAGGCTATTCCGACCATGGATCACAGGGAGGCTGGCTGACAGGGAAAACACAAGAGCCCAAAGAGAAAAAGCAGTGAGTAAGAAATGAAGAAGAAAACTGAGGGAAATCAGGTGAACAAGCGGTGAGTATGGGAAAAGGAGCGTGGAGGGGAAGCAAACCCAGGAACAAACAGATGAAGGAAAGCCAGAGCTAGAGCTTAAAAGGAAAAGGAAGGGACAAAAGGATTTCAGAAGGACAAACCTGCCAGGGCTGAGACTTCAAATAAGCAATGGAGCAGAGGATGTGAGGGAACAGAGGCTCCCAGCTCTCCCACACAGGAGCAAACCAGTGATCGCAGCCCTTCCATTGGATTAAGAGTCACTTCAGAGGGAAGATAAATGTGGAGTCTCTCTCAGGTAACAGGCACAGGAGGAGAGGAGGCCACAGCTCACTCCAGCTGGGGACAACAGGGATTGTTGGAGTTTTGGTGTTGCTGTAGGACAGTTTAAGGTCACAGGCTTTCACTTTCTTCACCCCAACAGCAAAATGTGGTGGGCTTCAATTCAAGTGTGCTTTAGTAGCCTTGTGCTGTTTAGGCTCAGGAGCCAGGTTAGGACCAGACACCACAGAAAGCAGAGCTTTAATAAACAAAATTCCAAATCCTTGCCTCAGTTACCAGGTTTTACCTCATGTGTCCCAGCACACACCATCCAGTAAAGAGAAGGGAATCAGCAAACCTGGGCAAAACCAGACATGTGCAGCTCCCAGGTTTCTCCCAAAGACTGGGAAAGCTCCTCTCCAGCACCTCCCAGCAGCAGGACACCAGCACAGGGAGCCATGGGCTGAGGTGATCCAGCACATTCACAAGGCCAAACACTGGGGACTTTGTGGTGCTGGCTTTAAAAAAAAAATACCCTAAAAAAGGCCTAATAATGAAGTATTTATTTCAGTAAACAACGTATGAATGAAAGAAGTGTTTTCTCAATACTTCGCTTTTTCTCTGCCTTCTCTCCCTTCCCCCCAGCAATTTTGTTTTTAATAAGTGGAACTAACAGGGCTTCGCTCGCTGCTGGCCGGGCTGGGGAGCAGGGCCGTGCTCTGCTGGTCTGCAGCAGCACAGGAACACGTGCCATGGGAAATAGAGCTGCCTTGTGCCTGGGGGAGCACCACCCATCAGCGTGCCACAGCCACCGAGGCAGGGAGATGTGCTCTGATGGACACACACACTGTGAGCCCTGCCTCGGGAGCATCCCTGGCCCTGGCAGCAGCACGGGACATCCAGCCCCTTATTCACTGTGGCAGCAAGAACTGCACCTCCTGGCCCAGGGCTTCTGGCACTGGAGAAGGGCCAAGTGCAGGTAAAGGCATCTGTGTCCTGTCCTGCCTGCCCATGCTCAGTGCAGGAATACGGTGTCAGGCAGACTCTGTGACCCTGTGCAGCTCCTTCTCTTCTACCTCAGCTCCATCCACCCCTACCTGAGCACCTGAATAATTGGGAACACTGGAAAACTGGTGCAGCTTGTCCTGTGTGGAGATAGGTTGTACTGATGATGCTTTAGTAGGAATTTCAAGCAGGAACCTCTAATCCCTGCCCCAGACTGACACCCAGCTTTTCAAGGCAAAGAGCACAGATGATGTCATGCTTTTCTACCTCCTCCTTGGCAACAGGCAGCAGCAGATTGAGCTGTCCTTTGCCTTCAAGCCTTGGGGTCAAGATGGGCAGGATTCTCAGAAGCTGCTGGTTTGGGAAAACATGGTCCATTGCTCTTCCATGCCACCCCTACCTATGTGGGATGAGCTGAACCCGTCACACACAGTGTGGGTGTTCATTTCTGTGCAGAAGCAGGTGAAAGGATGCAGTTGTAACCCTGGGTTGCAAATACAGACAGACTTGATGTGGGTAGGTATTTGTTCTGGAAGACAAGTTAGGCATCTGTAGATTTGCCAGGATATGATCCAAGTTTCCCATCAGCCAGAGGACTGAAGAGCAGCCTCACCTGCAGCCCAGGGTGGTTTGGAGTGACTGAAGGTGCAGATCCTGCTGTGATGAGCAGAGATCCCTGGTGATGTACAGGGAACACAGAGAAAAGCTGTTTCACACCAAGGAAAAGGCCAGGAGATCCCTTAGCAGGTCATAGATGCAGAGAAGACTGGAAAAATCTCCAAATGCCTCTTTGAGGACCTCTGCATGTGAGATGGATGGGAGCAGGCAGCAGGCAAGGTCCTCAGCTCACTGCCACCCCTCAGCATTTGACCCTCTGGGGTGACCTCTCCTCTGTGCCCTGTCAGCACCTGAGCTCCAGCAGCCCGAGCCAGCCGATCCTGGCTGCCAGGGCGATGTCTGATCCAGCTCAGGAAGTCTCCAAGCCATGGCTTAAACCCCAGTAGAGGGTGGGAGTCCTGCCTGACTGTGCCTGTGTCCCTGAAGGATGGGGACACCAGGTCTGTCTTCCTCAGCCTCACAGCCCCAAGCTCTGGTGCAATGGCACAGGGCAAACCAAAGGCAAAGGCAGTTCCTCCTCAGGCAGAGCTCATTTCCAGACTGCTTTACAAAATCCCTCTAAAAGAGCATCGTCTACCACTGCTGCGAGTCGCTGCTGCACAAGGTGGTGTGCCAAATGCAAGACAGATGGTTTCCCCCAGGAAAACGCTATGGAGTGGGGGAAAATGTACCACAAATATCCCCCAACAGGGCTAAACTGGGACCTGGGGGCTTCAAAGACACATTTAGAGAGGAAAGAGATTTACTGGTTTCTCATGCTTCTTTGTTATGAATAAAGACAAGCTCTGATTGTTTTTAATGAGCTCGCTGTTGTTTCTCTATTTGCTACATTACAAATTCACATATTTGTCTCTTTAGGAGATTGAGAGTAATTGCAGACCAGGTTTCCTCATCACATCCTCTTAGCAAAGGGAAGAAAGTTATGTAAGTGGAGAAGAAAGCAGTCTGTCCCCAGATTTCCTGAATTCTTTGTCTGGTTCATTAATACCTGGAGAGCTTTGATGCTCAAGGAACCTCACAGAAAGAGGAAGCCTTTGAGGAGGGTTCCACAGCCTCACACTGAAGTGCTAGAACACACAATAAGTGCCAGAAAGATCTCCAAAAAAAGCAGGGAAACTGAACACCAAACTTGACATTCTTGCAATTTCTAAGCTTTTTTTTTTTTTTGAAGTTTTACCCTCCTTTATCCATCTAAGGGAGCAGAACACAATGCAATTTCCAGGTCCTTTAAATATCCTTAGCAGGTCACCTCTAGCACTGGGATGGCTGGCTATGAGCTCCTTCCAAGACTGTTGCAGCAGAGCTCAGAATCCCATGAATGACCCCCTGCTCGAGTGGGGACAGCTCCTTCAGCCCTGTGCTCACACCAGGGGCTCCGGGGAGGGGAGGGGAGGGGAG